CATATTCTGTAAATCACTAATCATCATTCAACTTTTTAATCAATACTAGTCAATTGTTCGTTATTACGTAAATTTAACTAACGATTTGATGATTCCAGACGTTTTCGAAACGATTCAAACAAATATTCACTAATCCGTTTTGTAGTTCTGTATCTTCTCAAGCCACAATGAGTGATTTTGCAGCCGAAAAACGTAAGTTAAAGTCGAATATTTGAAGTAATTCCTTACTGAAGCTACGAAAAGAAGTGCCGGTTCTTGTCAATATTTACACGTTCTCGGTTATTTATCGTTTTCCTTTCAAAATGAAATTGTTGAATCGTCTATTAAGTTTGATTCATGATAAATTGTTCTCTCTTTCACCTATATCAAAAGTTCGAAGTGAGAATTCATGAAATGAAAAGGGAGCTCCTATTTCAGAAAATCTCGGAGGGTATCGATGAGATGAATTTTTCCCTTGTGGTCTGATAACTGCTATGGTTGCTCAATTTTTTTTCTAAAAATCTAGAAGAGTTTCAAATTTCATTATTCTAGAAATGAAATTTCTCCTCGAATTTTGTCCACAGTATTTAAACTGGATAGCAAATTTTATTCCCAGTATTGAATAATGCTCCAAAAGTCTTTTTCACATAATAATTTGACAGGAATATTTGGTAATTTTTTCTCACAATAGAAAATAATTATTTGACTAGACATTAATTTTTCAGAAAAATATCTGAGTCTGCCTTTAGAAGAAAGAAGGAAGTTATACAGCGTTAAGAATTTTCTAACACTCGAAGACGTGAAGCCATGGGACAAATATTATGCTGAGAAGGAAGATGAATTACGTGAAACTCGTAAGTCCTTGTTAATTAGGGGCCCATATCGTCGTTTTTCTTCTTTCCAAGGACCAGATGAATTTTATTTCCAGGAATTTTCTGATATTTCAGTTTCAGTTGAAGAAAAATTGATGATTGTCTAGACTTGCTTCGTCAGTCATAAATCATGAAAATTAACTAACTCTAAAGAAAAATTCGTGTCTTATGAAGGAAAGTGGTTTAGTGTTTTTCGAAAAAGCACGTATTTTAAATGTCAATTGATAGCCACTTTTGAAGTTTCCTGATAGTTATTGCTTGTCAGAAAAAATCAAGCTTTGTAAGTTCACAAATTAGTTCGCAAAATATTAAGACGTAGAAATTTTATGAATAAAATTGTATTCGATCACGTATTGTCTAACACTTGAACTGAAGCCAAAAGTTTGATGGAAGAGCTATGATAATACTGTACTCTCAAACAATTTTTAGGATTTATCCAAATTTTATTTATTTTTTATTTACTATTTCATGTTTGAAGCTTTCAATAAATCCTAAAAGGTCCATTTAGAGGTTGTTCTCTATCAACTATGCTAAGCTGTCCAAGTCCAGCTCACATGTTTATTCGTATTTCATAATCATTTCCTTTATTTCAGTGAAGAGCAATACTAGTATTGTTGAAAGTGGTGATGTGCCTTCATCGATTTCACCAGCATTCAATGATGTGGTTAGCTTGTGGAGAGGTGATATCACCAGGCTGGAGATTGATGCAATTGTCAATGCAGCGAACAGTTCTTTGCTTGGTGGTGGCGGAGGTAATTTCTATCAACGTTTTTTTCATTTTAAATGTCATGCAATTTCGATATATTCGATCTAATTGGTGTAATTTTTCAGTGGATGGAGCTATTCATAGAGCAGCAGGTCCTTTTTTAAAAGCAGAATGTCAAACGTTAAATGGTTGCCAAACTGGAGATGCCAAAATCACTGGAGGTTACCAATTACCTGCTAAATGTGCGTTTACTCGACAGATTTTCTTTTTATGAAGTACTTTTTTCTTTTATTGAAAACTTGGCGTCCGTTTGTAGATGTTATTCATACTGTTGGGCCTAGAGGTGAAAAATCAGAGTTATTGAGATCATGTTACAACAGAAGTTTGGAGGTGTTGACTGAGAATAATCTCAGGACCATTGTAAGTTCATTGATTTCTCGATGTTGAATTTCGGTCATTCCCCTTGATTATTTTCAATATTTTTACCATTATTTTCTTCTTCTTTTTTTTTTCTAGGCATTCCCTTGCATTTCGACGGGAATCTACGGTTAGTAAAGGCAAATAATTCAATAATTTTGTATTATTTCCGAAAGAAAATTCACGTAATTGGTATAAATTTCAGGTTATCCCCAGATTGAGGCAGCTCATGTTGCTT